CAATTCGCACCGTTAGTTCCTGAGATTCTCTTTGGATTTAAAATATTAATATGGATTGAGTTCTTGTCTTACGAATTAATCAAGAGAAAAACGATCTAAACTTGAGCCTTGTGTCGGAAATTCCTTGTGTTTATCATGCAGTAGTTAACCATTTAAAAACTAAAAGAAATTATCTCTGACGTAAATTAAGTGGCTTGTCAAAGTAAGATCAAGAGCAATTTAATTTTTATCATATTTGACTAGCCTTCGCTCGCGGCTTCGCTCGCCTGTATGTTGATTATATCAGTTTTTCTTTTTCGAAGATCTTCTGTACTATTCAAAACTATAATCTATCTCTATCCTATATTTCATCCATATCCATTCAGCTATTTTGGCATGATTTAGTAACGATTCACATTAACTATAATATTAACAACATTTCCAATTGTGATGATATAAAGGCCAGGCTACTTAGCTATCCTTTACTTAAGATTATCGATAGTTTAATCCAATATAACAAAAATAATAGTTAAACTGTAGCATGTATAATGAGATACTAATCTGTTTTCTTTTTTTTTCTATAGACACATCTCACACACGGCTGTCTAATCCCAAACTAGGCAGAGCCTGTGCTATGGTAACCAGACTGCTGATAAACATACTTATATATTTCTAAATACATATTAATCCGTGTAGTGACGGATTAAGTGTCACCACCCCTGTTCATCCCGTGGGTGTCGTAAGAGCAGACTAAGGGCGCAAAACAACGCAGGACACTGTAAAAAGAAGGCAAACTTGACACAAACCCTATACCAACCCGTGTGGCCAGCGTGGTATAGTAGGCCAAAACCTCCTTTCTAAGGAGAGGCCTATGTCCAGCAGTGGACTACAGGTAAATTAGCTTGGAGAAATTTTTGCGTTTGTAGTAGTGTATGGTACGGACAGCGTAAACTGGTTTATTCTGGTTTTGTGCGTGTTTCCACTTTCCACTATCAAGTGACGATTTTTTGCTTTAGATTGAAATATCTCGGAAACGGTGCGTCCTAGGCCAAAAATAACAAATTTTTTGACCCCAACGTAGACTCCCAGAGTTTTAAAAACCTAGATGAAAGGAACAAAAAAAAAATTTTAAATATCGGTCTCTCCTCTTTGAAGTTTCACTTCTATCATGTGTGAATCGCACACACACCTTTTTTTTTTATAAAGTCAAAACCTTTTTCTTTAAAATAAAAACTTGTTTTTATTGAAAACAAAAATCAGTGTTGCTAGGGATAAGTATAAAATTAAATAGTAATGTTAGGATATCGAAACATTTTTGTATAGGCCAGAACGATATAGTGGAAACGCGCTCTAAGATCTGAGTAATATACACACCACTACATATGCAAAAATTTCTCGAGACTAATTTCACTGTACTAAATGCTGTTGATGATGAAATACATATTATAGATAAATTACACCCAGACACAGAACAAACGATCGTGCTCGCCACCACACATACATAATTTGCCTGCAATCTTACTTACTATCCCTTTGACTTTGACTAGCTTGTTGGTTAGCAATCCTGACTGGAGGTCGTGGGTTTGATTCCCACCCAGGGCAAATATTTGAGTGTGTGTCCGGGTGTAATATCGTAACTGATTACCTGCCTACCTTCTGATTACCATCGGCTGTGTGTGAGATGTGTGGCGTAATTATTATTTATTCATTTTCTTCTTTGTATTGGGATTTGCTATCATTCAGCGAATTGTTATTTCAAATTGCCCTGGCAAGATAATATTCAAACATTAGGACCATCAGGCGATGTGTTAGACATTCCTAAAAAGGCCCTTGACACCATTCCTTTTATTAAAACGTCTTCGAACTATTCTTACGTAGCAATGACGTGGGTGTACTAGTCGTTACCGTAATCTAGCTAGATTAAATAATGTGCTCCCGAAAGCCAATCATTCCTCGTCATTCAGTCGTTCATTAAGATGTGTTCGTTGACCACAGTTTGGGAATTGATACCAATTGGTGTCCGTTAGAATGGAGAGTTTTAATTTTTGTAAGACATTTGACTTTCAAGAGTGATTGTTAGTTAATAAACAATTACTACAATACAAGTTTGGATTTAATTCAATTTGAGTTAGCTCTCTCTCGCTTTGTTTCTTTCTCCGTGTTCTAGACTCCACCTCTCTGTACTTCTTAAGTAATTAAGTTTGTATTGCAAAAACCTTAATTGTGTTAAAAGATAGTCTCCCTATTCTTATTATGTCCCTTTATGAGAGCCATGCTTCGGTGCACATGGACCGTTGTGATGGCGGCTTGAAAGAAAACTGGTGTTGGGCAATTACTCCGTAGCTTTTCATTAAATGAGTCACCTTAGTCCGGTGGCGGTCACTTACACGTGCCCTCGATGGTCCCCCCCCCCCCCCCCCATCTCCCTGTACAATAAAAAATGATGTACCATTCGTGATAGTATCGATATTTATATTTATACTTATATACTCATGGCTCTTACCATGGCTACCACTCGCTAGCATTATAGAAGTGATGATGTCTCTCTTTCTGTCCTTCATATTAAAGAGTATTACCGGAACTATAGTATTTTTTCATAAGATATAACACTTATAGTTGTTTTAAAAAGTTTTTACTAAGTCAGCAATTTCCTAGACACCATACGTCAACACATTGTTATCAATTAAGAGTATCAATTGTTTTTTTAAACTGTTGAAAATGATACTTAAATACTTATAAGGATATCTAATTTATTTATTTTTTAAAGACAACTCCCGCACTAGGAATAAATCCTGTGTCGCGGGGGACTTCACAAACATACATGAAACGAACTCCCAGACTCGGAACAATAATTTGTAGATCACACAAAATGTTGTCCCATGTGGGATCGATCCCACAACACTTAGCGTAGTAGAAAGCGGCGAGGTGACCGCTTAAACCACTACGGCACCTGTGGAGTCAAGTCAAGTCTTACTTTTGTTTTACTATGTCTGTTTGACAATGTCGGCAAGTCACAAAGGTAAAATAAAACACATCTTCAGCAATGACATATATATCATTAATTTCATAATTATGATAATTATAATTTAAATACTTATAACTAAACATTATTAATCTATTGTTCGTTATACTTCTAAAACATACAGTTATTTCGTAAATTGAATAAAGACATTAAGTGAAAATATTTACATTCAATATTTATATCCAGACTTTTATAATTGTATATAAACTAACTTTGTAAACCTATTTCACAAATTAATAATTTAAAAATGAACCGTATAGAGCAAATGTAAAAGAAATTAGAAGTACGATATGGCCCATATAAATGAGGTAAGTAATAATATTAAAAACAGTTTTCTTTTTTTTACACAACAAGATAGAACTTACTCAACTTTTGTACAACATTTTATTAATGTTAATTATTTTTTAATATTCAAAGCAATTACATGACAATATAGCCAGTTTTTTTAATGTTTTTTTAAAAGCTTCATCCTCTTGTTAAGTATAATATTGATCTTCGATATTTAATAGCAGGTGACGTTGCAATCGGTCACCCCGCATGCCGCGCCGCACATACCCTACCTACATTCTCAAAGTCTTACAAAATTTACAATATTTGAGGTAAATATAAAAAAATAGTAACTCGTTTTATCAATGTATGATATCTAGTAGCCAATTACGAAATTAGAAAACAATATTGCAACACGCGAAGGGAGCACAGCGAGAAGACTCTTCAAAAACAATTACGAGTATGTGTAATGTTCAAAAATTAAAAAAAAACATTGATAGACAAGAATTTATCACATTCTCCATTCATGTTCACACATTGACAGACACATTGACATTTTATATTTGAAAGACTGAATAGCTTTAAGTATGGAAAATAAGCTTGCCTTCTTGACGTACAAATATATAAAGAGGAATTTATTCTGTTTGATAAAATTCAATGGTGTCTCAAAAATAAATATACCATATATTTCAAGAAAGATTTGTATATTTAAATTTGATATAAAAAGTGTAGGTAGTAGTTGTTAAGGAAAAATATTCAGATAATTTTTATTTTATTTGTTTTAATATGCAATATCTAAACGATCAGTCCAGGTCCACTTTCATTCAATGACAAATACTTAGGTAGGTTAGTAGTTAGTAGACAAAGAGTAGACAAAGAGTAGTAATTCTTAATTTGAAATTTGATTAAATTGAAAAAAGAATGTAATTCATATCGCTGTCATTTTTTTTAATTTCCTACCTACATTATGTAGGCAATTTTTGATGGATGAAAAAATGTGGGACTCACAATAATAAAATAAAGAAAGATAATCATGCATGCGTTTATTTATATACTAACATCATTATTACGGTAAAATACTTAATTTATCATTGAAAACATATTTTAAAGATTATTATAAAGTATGACTAGGGTAAACTTGTCGCCCTAATGATTCAATGAAGACACCATTTCGAAGTGAGTGTGCGTCTGATCGACATGAGACACAATCAGACTAGAATATTTTAAGTTAATTTTCTAATAATAATTTTACTTTCTAAAAATACTGGTACTTTTGAAGAAATGATAATGCAGTCTATGCCCCGATGTCTATCGATAATCAATAAAAAAAATGTTTACATAGACAATTAAAAAATAGTCGATGCAACGAAAGTAATAATCTCCCAATTAGCGTCAGTGTTACCTATAAAGCCATTTTCTTTTTTAAGAAAAGTTTGGTGTCTTATGGTATCAAAAGGCTTTTTCCAGTGTCCGTGTCTTGAATTGACTAGATCGAAATTACATTTATTAATAACAATAGATACTAAACATTCACAGGTAGCAATACTCCTGCATCGCTAAAATGATCTCTGGTAACGATACACCACTTATTTCTAAGTAATTAGGATTCAAATTGCGAACACGTAACTGTTTACGCGGGCGCGTGTTTATTACTTTGTGGGGAATGCGCGGGTGACGGTTTGCCTGAACGTAAGTGACAGAATTTGTGTCTGTGTGTGTGCGTGTAGGGTGTCTACCGGCCGAGTCCTGTCCACAGCAGAGCAGGGTCATGGTGGTTGGCGCCAGGGTACCCACCGTCCGCCTCCACGAGAGATCTGCGGTTGTAAGATCTACGTACAACGATATTTTTTACTATATTTTTGTTATTTATATGCGATGTGTTTGGCGTACTCCTTAAGACATGCATGGAAATTAATGCATTGAACTAGAGTGTGTTCAGATTTATAATTTAAATCGTGGATCCTTTGATTTTGTTTACTTATTATTTACAGTCCGGAGATAGAATTTGTTTTACCGAGGTACAGAACACTATACATCTAAACACACTCTAAACTGCATCCATTTACAACACGTGGAAATAAGATTAATTATTAAAGATGCATGGGTATACGCATGTGTGTAATTAGGGCAAGTCTGTTTAGGCTTCCGTATATCCGTACATCTTTAATAAATGAGATTACTCACACGAAGATTTTATTCTAAGAAAATAATACTAGTTCTACATTATTTTCTATATTTAATTTCAACAATATCCCATATATTGATTAATATCGGATTCGAAGTAACTAAAATTATACTGTACTTTATCGAAGATATCAGATGTAAAAAGTAAAACACAATGTATTTATCAAACGATTTTAAAAGAGGAAACTATGTATAAAATATTACAATAAATACGGACTTTACATTTCTATTTCCAAGTGGGTTGTGCTCGCAACTTCATCTAAAGTCAAGAACTTTCATTTAAAACAAATGACTAAATGACCGCAAAAAACAATTTAGCCGCGCATTTGAATATAAGGACTTTTGCCCCGTCAAATGAAAAAAAATAATTGTAACATGGTATGCAGAAATATAAATTGCTTTAAGACTATGCACTTAATAGAAAAAACGTTACTTTTGCCAAGAAAAGATTTTTAATATTTTATAAATGATTTTTAATGGTTAAAAACATTGAATTGGAATATTGCGTTATATGAAAGTAGTAATGCTAAATGTTAGTCAAAAGTAGTATTACTGCGTGTTAGGTACTAAAGATAATTTGAATAAAGAAATAAAACAAGGTATACATATAGGACAATTCCCACCTGATATTGCCAGTTGGTCTGAGAGGTCGAAGAGCATACAGCTTACGTGGACCACTGCCACCGCCGAAGTTATCTACAAAATAGTCAAAAATATTTTAAATGCATTTAAATTCTAGAATAATACTTAAAAAATTTAATGTGATACTGTTCAAAATTTTATTTACTGTACTCTAGAAGCGATGAATTGTGTCCGGAAGGTATACAATGGTTACCAATTACAATATTGATCAATTAGTTAGAACAATGTATGTGGAGTTTCCTCGAAGAATAAAATTTCTAATGGGTCATCCATCAAAAAACTAGAGTTACGAAAAAGCTCGAAGAATAAGCATGCTGAAGTGGCACACCTGCCGAAAGACTGATGTCCACTGTGGAAAAAACGCTGACGCGTCCCAGAAACATGGAATGGCGGTTAGAAGAAGATAGCTGCAATGGAGTGGACGTGGAAAACGGAGAACTATTTACTACGGTAAATATTACGCGAGGCAAATTTTGTTGTCTAGTAGTGGACTACTGTTCCCTATTTTATTCATTGATTGGTTACTGATTAAGCAGAGCAGAGCCTTAGATTGCCATGTTATGGTTTGAACTAAATAACTAAATTAATAAATATTATTACGAACCACCACGAACGTTAAGGACAGAGAGAGTTCATTACCGGTGAATTGCCACGCGGCATTGAGCGGGGCGGTAAGGCATAATGAGCATTATCACTATACGCATAAGATCGGAAATAGATTGTCACACGTTGTTGTTTACATTGAAAACGTACTCCCGTTTTTCGGAAATAAAAAAGCTCTCATAAGGGTAGGAATTTACTAGATTGACCTTTCTAGCGGTCTAACGAGTAGTATAAATACAGATACGTTCTCGCCGGGAGGATAGTTCAGTTCAGTTTAAGCTACAGTGCGATAAACAGCGAAGCGATGTAAGCAAACAGAAGAGTAACCTAGCGATCTCGGCGAACATTCCGGACTGCTATTAAGTATTCATCAACAACTTTTAATAGTTCACTGCTGGACATGGAGGTTTCGGCCTACTTTAACACGGTTACTTTAAGACGGTTGGTATTGGGTTTGTGTCAAGTTTTCCATCTCTTTGCAGTCCTGTCATCCTGCGTAGTTTGCTCCCTTAGTTGACTCTGAGGACGCCCACGGGATGAATAGGGGTGGTATTTATTTAAGTGTCTTAAGGTCTTCTATTTCCTTCTCCTGTTTCATTCCAAACCAACGAACTCTAACACGTACCTCTGCAACTTAAGAGTCACAAATGCGTTGCACCTTTTTAGCCCCCCTCCCCTCCCCCCCCTCGAAATCAAGAGGGAGACGGAGGTTACCGGGCTTAGGTAACCTAACCCACTTTGTGAAAAGCAACAAAATAATTGCTTAACCCGGTTTTCTGAGGTCGTGGTATCGCACCCGTTGCCGTATGCCGAGACATGGCTCTCCCACGATAAATGAAATATTTATTTATGACTTCATGCAGATATATATACATCGGCAGACTTAATGCCTAAGGCATTCTCTGCCAGTCGACCGATTGGGCGATGCAGAGAAAGAATGAGGTGGGTGCACTTATGGGGATAAATGAAATATTGCATTGAGCGGGATTCAAATATTATTAAATAAATACAAGAGTTCAGTATTGTATGGAGAAAACTCACGCTTCTACAGTGTTCATAGCTGTACAGGACGTGTTACGTTATATTGTAGCTTTGTGTCTGGGTAAATATCGCAAAGGCAATTCTTCTAACTATTCCCGATACTCGAGAAAGTATTTAAACTAATCACAGAACTAACTTTGAATGAAGTATACACTCGCAGACTGTAGTCTCTAGTTAGCAAAAGTACTTTGAAATATATGCAGATGCCTTATTGCGTGGGACTCGATTGTTTCAAAATTGAAAGATTTAAAATAAATTAAAATGTATTTATTAAACATTTTGTTGCATATAAGCTAAAGATTAAAATTTCAAAGCAAAATATCACAATGACTACTCATTATGGCTTTGTTTTTTTTGTACCTCACACATCTCACACACGGCCGTCCCAAACTAGGCAGAGCCTGTGCTATGGTAACCAGACTGCTGATAAACATGCTTATATATTTTAAAATACATACATATTGTAAATAAATAACACCCAGACACAGAACAAATGACCGTGCTCATCATAAAAAATTTTGCTTAGCAGTATTGTAAAATAGTAAATAAAATGCCAATTACAGCTGTTATCAGTTAAAGACGTATTGGATCTATTTGGAGTTTGTAATCCCGTAATAATAGTACTATAATATTTAAGCAGTTTTCTATTCCCATGAAATAATTTTAATTTAATTTTGAAATCTACCTGTGTGGTTTTTAAAATTAAATGAAACTTATTTTAAGTTTTAATCATTTAGTTACAATGCTCTTAATTCGAATTAGCACTGAAACAACAGTCTGACATTTATTAAAAAAAAAAAACAGAACATTGTCACAAATTAAAATAAAAAGATAATTTAAAAAAGGAACCTCATCCCGATTGCGATGCGATGAAATTGTGCAATGAACTGCATTTTCCCGTAAAAGAAGGTGAAGGCTTATGCCTACTTAGGTAGGCAATGAGGTAAAATAATATAAAGAATTTACTGAGTTAGTAAACCGTGTCAGAATTGGCTCGTATCGGAAACTACGGTAACAATCTTATCCTTATAATACGGTACGTACGTTAGTAGTCTATAGAAATGAACATCAATACGTTGTTTTGTCTGTGGGATTTCTGTACAAAGCGCAAAGGCTATCGTTTTACTATTTCTCATTTCGGCAGTATTTGAATTGCAAGAACCAACTGAAGGAAACACAAACTACAATAAACAAACAAATTTAAAGGTTATTTCCTGTTGCAATTTGATTGACATTGTCATCTTGTTAAGAGTTCCTGTGAGCATATTTTCCTATTTCCACTGAGTAGGAAGCGGTGTGTAACCTTAAGAGCAACGTCTAATTAAGACACCGGTAGCGTCGAGTTCAATGGTTACTGAAGGTCGAGCGATGGAGGAATATTGTGATGTGCTTCGAAAGGTACTTGCGTAAACTACATTAAAAATGTGACTAGAACTAGTTAGACTAGAAAATTGTTTATGCACAATGATTATTTGTTAACCGACTTCAATAAATCATAGTCGGTAAATTTTGAATTTAGAATTTCTCAATTATTACAACGTTGGATCAAGATAGAACCGAGCAATTATGGTAATAATATATTTTAGAATATGAAATCTCATTTTGAATTATACGTAATAAAAATGCGGATTAAAAAACCATAAATACCTAGGATCATTATATACTCATAACAATTTTCTTTGCATACTAATGTTTTACTAAACAAGGTCGTATAATTTAACAATATTTTAATGTTTCATGAAAAAATGTGTGGATTACAAAATGATTGATGTTTGCATTATCAAAGCTATCAAATGACAATTAGGCTTTATGTCAGCTATGGTATTTTTTGTTAGTACCAACAACGCGTGTTTGTACCAATACGCGCTGATTAAAAGGTCTGACGAGCTGCAAAGACAAAATATACTGCTTTGAGCGTTGAAGTGAGTGAGGGAAAATTGTTGAGGGAAATGAATGAGGGAAAGCGACGTGTAATTCATAACTAGATACGATTATGAATAATATAAAAATAATAAAGTCGGACTGCAACGGCTAAAAAACAATGTTTGAACTTGGGATATTGCGAATGGTTATGACTCTATGAGTGTCACCACCCCTATTCATCCCGTGGGTGTTGTAAGAGCCGACTAAGGGAAAAAACTACGAAGAGCAACAGCACTGCAGAGAGAATGAAAACTTGACAAACCTATACCAACCCGTCTGGCCAGCGTGGTATAGTAGGCCAAAACATCCTTTTTTCCTCCTCAAACATCCTTTCTAAGGAGAGGCTTATGTCCAGCAGTATTAAAGGCTGTTGATGTGATGTGTGATGACTGTATGTATAAGCATAGAACTTGTCTTGCCGAACCCAACAACATAATCATGTTTAAAATTCACCTGACAACTTTACCTCTCTTTCTACATATTTGTCTTAGCTGAATTTATATTGGCATAACTAGTCATGTACTGTCATACTCTAAATAAGAACAAAAGAAAGCCACACCGACAGAGAATTCGTACAAAATTTTCTTTAAAAATAGAAGTCTCCTTACTTTTATTGTACAATCATAAATCGAGATAGTTTTCTTTCAATAAAAAGATAATAAAAGATAATAATTGGCATTGTTCGGAATCTTTATTGAAATAATTTATCATAATATTCGAGATAGATCATAATTACGTTTTAAGAATTCAATATTTCTCTTTGCAACTTCGATTTAATTACTTGAATAATTTTTAAGTAAAAGTAAAGACCAATGAAAGAGTTAAAAGTACAATTTCATTAAGAGGTTACTTATAAAACCATAAAACGATATCGTTAATTCAAATTCAAATTCAAATTCATTTATTACCAAAAAGAAAAGTACAAAAAATGTGATACATTGCCGGTGGCCCCACACTAGGCAAGCCTGTCCTGTGGGTGCCAGTTGCGATTACACATTTCGCTATACATTGTTGTTCGGTAGACATTACATCGTCGTTTTCAATTTAATGTATACAGTGTTACTTGCTTATATTTGAGACAGCAATCTATTTCCTCCGAGTATGCGTTTGGAAGAAAACAATTGCCGTCCCAAACAAGTTGGCAACAAAAAAAAAAAAAAAAAGGGATAAAAAAAATATGAAAAATGATTAAAAATGAAAAACAATAATATTGGCAAAACAGCGTTGGTAAATACATGCATGAGGTTATTTTATAGATATTAATATTGTAAAGATAAAAAATAACTAAATGTGTGTGTCTATATTGGTTTAGGGTACTTTATATGTTATGTGTAATATAATAAATTATTCTCAAAGAATAAGGCGCAACATTTATGAAACGTGTGCCAACAGACCTTCTGTATAGTCGTATGTCAAAGAAAGCAACCATTGTGTAATGTTAAGTTTAGCCTCCCCCACAAAACATAGCGTTATATCGCAGAGCTTTG